CCCGGGCTGGGGATTCGAACCCGCCACCTTAGGTGTATGTGGCTGGCGCCTTAGCCGCTTGAGCCACAGGCGCCGAGCCAGCCCTTGCCAACTTAATGAACAAGGATATGTGTGTTGATTTTTATGTCGCAGCTTCATCTCCAGGAGCACCTAAGGACTGGTGATGAATTTGAATTGTCCTAGTTCGTCCCCACTGTGTCTTAGTGTGCAGGTTCCTTCCCGCGTACAAACCTGACTTCTTCCACCACCAAAACCTGTGCCCCAGGCCAGGTACAGTGGCTCACGCCTGTGATCCCAGCACCCTGGAGACCGAGGTGGAGGCATTGCTTGAGCTTAGAAGTTCAAGACCAGCCTGAGCAACAGTGAGACCCCATCTCTACTAAAAATACAAAAACTAGGCTCAGCACCCATAGTACAGTGGTTACAGCACCAGCCACATGCACTGAGGCTGGCAGGTCCAAACCCAGGATGGGCCAGCTGAATAACAACAACTCCAGCAACAAAAAAATAGCTGGGCATTGTGGAGGACACCTGTACTCCCAGCTACTTGGGAGGCTGAGGCAAGAGAATTGTTTAAGCCCAAGAGTTTGAGGTTGCTGTGAGCCGTGATATCACGGCACTTTACCTAGAGTGACATAGTGAGACTTTACCTTAAAAGAAAAAAAATATATAAAAAACTAGCTGGCCATTCTGTTAAGCGCCTGCAGTCCCAGCTACTCAGGAGGCCGAGGCAGGAGGATCACTTTAGCCCAAGAGTCTGAGGTTGCTGTGAGCTGTGATGCCATGGCACTGTACCCAGGGTGACAAAGTGAGACTCTATCTAAGAAAGAAAGAAAGAGAGAGAAAGAAAGGACAGAGAGAAAGAGAAGGGAGGGAGAGGGGAAGGAAGGAAGGAGGAGGAGGGGGGAAAGAAGGAAGGATGTTTGTATAATAAGGTCACTTATGTCCATAAAACATTCTATCACCAACATTTACCAAGTGTCCTAGGCACTAGAAATAAAGCAATGAACAAAACGTCGCCCCTGCATTCATTGAAGACAGGTAACTAACGAGCGAGGAAATATGTAATAGAAATCCATGTAGTGATAAGGTATTGGAGAAAAAATAAAGCGGGGTAGACAGAAGTGGCACGAGCAGGTGGGAGTGGGATTTGTTCTATGATGGGTGATCAAGGAAGGCTTTTGAGAAGGAACTTTTTTTTTTTTTTTTTTTTT